TCACGTGAGTGACACCGTTAGGATTTGACCTGTATTATTTCACGTTTCCGTTTCCTCAGTGGGGGACTTCGCAGCTCCGTCCCTGGCTTCCCCTGAAGCTGCTTCACATCTGCCTAACCCCATCTCAGGGTCACAGCATCTCCAGACTATGAGGTTTGGCTTTTTCTGTGCGTTTGAGGGGCTGTCATGGGCTTTAATGTTAACCTGAAGGGCACCCTGCTGCCAGGAACCATTTGGATCCGTGAGGCGGGAGAGCTTTAAGCTTATTTCACTGTTTGCATTAACTCTGAACTCTTTGGAAATAAAAAGCTTAACGGAAAGAAAGTTTCTGCCAAATAGGGAAATCACTGAATTTATTCAAAAAAGTCTCTTTGGATGACTTTTGAGCATATGTTGTACTCCAAAGGCACAGAGCAAGAAAATTTCTYATTTCTTTCATCAGGATTTTCATCTCTACTTCTTTAATGTTCAGGGACAAAATGAATTATACTACAAAAATGTATGGTTCCTCTCCTCAAACACATAGATCCTGCAAGATACTGAGTGTCCTTGAAAGACAGCTGAGGGAGATCAGTAAGGAAATACTTGACATCTTGCAAAATAGACAAAAAATAAAAGAATGAGCAAATGCTAATGAGCTATGGTGACTAGTGAAGCTCACTAGTGATTTAAATCCATGAACTTCAAACATGGATAGTAGAAACTGCAGACCTAGTCAGCCTTCCAGGACAYTGGGAGACTGAGGACAGTTTGACTGAGATGCTTGATGGGACTTCTGGGACCAGGAAGCAGGTGGAAATTTATTATTTGACTGTGGGCACGACTAAACCTGCCCTGAATAAATGGTTGGAGACTCCAATGTGTGGATGAACACAGTAGCTGTCTAATTCTTTCAATTCCTGGTGATTCTAGATGTGTTTACAGAAAATGAAAGGCGRTTTTCTATAGTGACATACTACAGGAGATGCATTAAAAAAGCTAATTGCACTTGGGAGTTAAAGATAAATTGATATGCCCATAAATACCTAYGTTTCCTTTGCTTTCCTGATCTCTAATGAAGTTTATAATTTAATTGGAGAAATTACCAGATCCTCTCAGACACTAGTGAAACTCTCAAAGGRGAACAAGCCGCTTATGCAAGTGTTTTTGTAAAGCAAAGTGTATTCAAATAGTGTAAATATATACTTGGAAATAAGTAAAAAAAAMCCCAAAGGTTCTCAGTTGCCCACATAAAAGCCTGAAGTTCTCAGAGCCGTAAAGCTGTAAAAAGRGTGGTGGTCTGGTCTGAAGTTGAACATTAATGAAAATATTTCTATYGCAATTAAAATGAAAACACTTCCATATATTACCATTCCAAAGGGAAAACTTCTGCTTTTGGGTAAGTTGCAGAGGGACACTGCTACAATGTTGTTAACTGTATGCCACATGGGACTTAATTAATTAATCCCTCAGTAGAATGRATCAGTAGAATAAAGAGGAGGAGGCAATCTGGTTGGTGTTCACCTAGCCTGTAGCTTGTGTACGTGCCCTGAAGTTTGGAGCACATATTGTGGTTTCAGCAGGGCAGATCTGCTCCTTTTAAGTAAAGGCCTCTCAATACTTCCAAAATTGTGAGGTCTTATCAATACTGAATATCAATATAGAGTCACAGCTGACTGTATACACAGCTGACTATAAGACAACCTCCTCAAACAATAAAGTAGCAAATACACTTTTCCTGAGAGCAATGCACTCAGCTTCTGAGATGGATTAAATTTAGAACAGATAATGTGAGTGAGAAACTGTTAAAACTGAGGATATTTTTCACTTATGTAATGCAAGTTAGAGGTTTCTGTTACTGCTGGAATTGCAACTATAGCTGAGACGGGTCAGAAAACCCTGGAGCTTAAGTACAGAAGCTTCAAGGCGTGAAAGAGTATAAAAATAAATTCCAAAGGGCTTAATAACATATTGTACTGAAGCTAGATATTCTGGTGTCAAAAGGAAACCATTGACTCTTAGATCAAAACTAATCACCAAACGGCAATAAGACCCTTTGTTTTAGCCAGAAAGTTATTCTGCAGCCCACTGGGGTAATCATCTCCCCTGTCATCCTGAGTTACAGCTACTTTGCAGTTTGTAAATGGGCAAGCCATCTACAATACAACAGTTAAACCAAAACTCTTTTGCAATGAATGTAGTTAAACCTTCAGTAGCCTCATCCAGAATCTACTAGGGACCTTTTGCTTGACTTCAAAGGGATTATTATCAGCATTTTTGCATTTGAAGTTGAAATTCAATCTTTGAACTTCTACAAAAATAAGTAAATGGAGAGAGCTGTACCTCGCAGCTCTGTTGTCAGGATCACCCTTTAAATTGAATCAAACATATTCAGAACCCATACAAAGTCCATCTCTAAAGCCCTGAAATAAAGAAATCTTCCTGATTCTCTACGCAGACCACCCTCTGATTCTCTCTGCTACAAGAAGAGATGATGAGGAAAAAATGTCTTTTCTTAGTCTCCATCCCAGAAGACTTTATTTATGTGTTAGTCGACCTTTCTAGCTGTTAGGACCATCTTGCTTCAGCAGTTAATTAACACAAGTGCCATAATTTAATACAGTTAATGCTACTTGATGCCCTTTAATGTACCTTCCATTAGTGATATTATTGTAGTATTACCCCGTAAATTAAAAYGAGATCAAGACTAAGAGGGGCTCTCTTTAATTAAGGTACTGGCACACTACATTGTCCATTATTCACCAGAAAAAAATGGCCCTGATTTAGTGGAACAGACCRTGGGCCAGTCAGAATTAGTTCATGTGGATTATTAGCTTTCTTGAATAATGTGAGTGCGATGGGGTTGCTGAAATTGCTAACAGCCATGTTTCCTTTTCTTTTCCCCCACTATCTTAGTAAACACGCAATGAAAGAGGTAAATTGATGAATGAACAAGTGGTAATGGAAGAGGTAAAGTGTTCGTCAAGAGCGTGCAGGTTTTTATCTCTAATGCAACATGCATCAGGCCTAGTTCATAGCCAAATGCAAGGGGATGACAAAGCAAAAATATTAAAAGGGAAAATCTYCTCTTTAATTCATTATGAATTATTAAACCCATACCCCAGGTTCTGGTATATTAAATATGGTACCTTTAAGGTAGGTATTTTTCATTCTCATTKAACTTAAGGTAAAATATAAAACAATTTATATGATATGCTGCCTTAAAAATATACTCTTATGAGCTTTGGAGATTTTAACTATRTTAAAACTAGATGTTATTTTTGAAGCTAAAGAAATAGCTTTAAATTGCTAGCATCACTCATCCACCACATACTGAGCACCTTGGTGACCTCTTTTTGTACTTCGTCCTCATGGAACTAGCTTTACTAAATGCGTATAAATGTTTTGACTTCAAAAGCCAGAATATCACCCATTATTATGCAAAACAATTATGATAACAATTCCCAGGTATCAGCCTGGATTGACATGCAAGGGCTGGAAAGTTCAGCTGAATCGGAAACACCAGCATAAAACAGTTTGCAGCCTCCGCTCCCCTCTGTCGAGTTTCCACCTACTTATTTTTCAGGGAATGCCAGAGAACTGGCCATAACGCTCAGGTAGAGAGGCTTCGGGGTGAACCCTGTTGCTTCATAACCCCTAATACAGGTTTATATTTTTCAGTAGATTATGTCACAGCAATTTGATTCTAATTCAATTGTATGAATTGAACTTTGCACCATGGATGCACAGGCAGCCATGGAAGAAGTAGAAAATGGCAAGCTTAAGTCACCAAAGGAGTAATTAAAAATGCAGCTTTTTCATTGTTTTAAATAATGACCTTCTCTAATTTACCCACTCACGTGCCGGCACAAATAAAACCTAATGTGGCCTTCCAGGACACATTAGGTTTTATTTATGTACTCCCCCCAAAAACTCCCATTGCACTGATCCTGTAGTTCATCCAGAAGAAAGAAATGAGACTTTTTTCCTTTTTTTTTTTTTTTAATGAGCTGGCACCCAAGATATGTGTAATGGGTATCACCCCTCCTGCTCTAGGTCATCAGTCAATTATTAGTTTGAGTTGGGAAGATTTCCCAATAGGAATGTCATTGTGCAGTTATTTTTTGGGGACTGTGACACCTGATACTCGCCACTGCTTGCTGCAGAGGGACTATTTATTTTAAGTGCAGTTCAGTAATATATATTCTTATATTCAAGCRAGTCCTATGCTCTCCAGATCACTGCTGTATTTTTCCCTTTTCCTGCAGCTTTACTGCATTTCAGAGCCCGTTAAAGTACAAGGAACAGGCTCTAATCTCTGTGGCTTTCTTTGTTCATCTACGACTCATCCTGTGGAAGGGTTCCACACAAGGGCTGTTGTATCGGTTACATATCACATTAAAGCCCTGAAGAAAGTCAAATGATAAAACAGAATCTCTCCTTTTAGTTAACTAGCATCAGGCTCCAACTGCATGAAAACAAAAAAATCGAAAAGCAAGGGGCACAAACCTGGGGAATTGTGCTCGAGCAAGAAGCCGCGAGCATGGTTGAGCATGAGAAGAGGTTGCCCATGGTGTCTTCATCCTTGGAGATGCTCAACCCTGGCTGGACGTCGCTCTGGGCAGCCTGATCTAGCTGACCCTGCTTGAATAGTGTATTGGACCAGGACCTGCAGGGCTGTCTTCTACCCCTCAGCTATTCTCAACCCCTCAAACTATGGACTTTGGGAAAATAAAACCAAAGGCCCTGGGAAGTGTCCTAGTGCTGAGGTGAATTCCTGAGCCAAGGTATGAAAGTCCTAATCTCTTGAGAGCTCAGGTGCTTCCTAGAGCTAGTGACCTAGAAATTAGTGACACTGAGTCAGAAACSTCTGGTATTTTCAGAACCTGATTTGAACAGAGCCATATTTGTGGTGAACACACTTCTGTAGAGACTTTGCCATGTTTGGGGAAATAAACGGGTTTGACCAACCTCTAAAAACAAACATATACGTGTGCTCCTCAGGGTGTGTATTCTCTTACCTTCCATATACCCTTATGTCTGAAATTGCATAAAAGTAGCGTGCCAGGTGCTGCTCATCTACATATATTTCTCCAGTTGCTGGCCTAAGTAATCGTATCCTCAGGTCAGTGATGGTAAAGAAATCTCTTAACTTCTTGGTTGTGTCAAGCTGGCCATACAGAGAAGCCATATTATGAAGTCGAGGTCCAGCAAAGAAAGCAAATCTGTCTTTGATTTCAAAGTGGATTATTTTACTGTTTGTCATGTACCCAGTAGAGTATTCTTCTGTGCAAATGATTTCTAGGACCGTGTGCTGTGATAAATCCCTCACTGATTTTGGATCCATGTGGAAAGCATCTAAGCAGTCTGTGGCATAATACTGGTAGGGCTGCCATGTTCGCCCATAGTCCAGGGATTTCTCCAGGATCATTTGGTCCGGACGGCCGGATTCGAACGTGATAACTATGTTATCAGTCAGCTCAATGGTTTTGTTCCAGGAGAGAGTAATATTAACGTGAAGAGGCTTTGGATAATCCTTCCAAGTTGTGGACTGCCAAAACGTGGAGGGGTGCCTGCCTTCGAGATCGAACATCAGCTCTGGAGGGTGAGCCAGTTCTTGGGTACTTGCATCACATTCATTATTGCACATGTAGGGGTTCCCCTAGAAAAGAGCAAAACAGGGTTACAAGGAGCACCGTATGGGCAACTACAACACGTAAAGATGTTTTGTCTTTGGCCCATAAGAATTGCTTCTTTTTCTTTAGGAGTGAAACCAAGAAATAAAAATATGAATGCTTGCAAGGAATACCTTTATTTTAGCCCAATGTATCCTATGCATTTTGTTTTTAATATTATCCCCCCACATACGCCGAGCACCTTTGCTTCTGTAATATAAGTATTTTTCTTCTTACGTTTTAAAGGAAGTGTTCATCTACCCTGAATGAGTTTGACCGATAAGCTAGTCAAAAGGCCAGGACAAATGAGCGAGTGCCTAAGAGCTCAATAACTCTGACTCTTCTTAGAGAGAAGCAGCAGGCAAAGAGATTTTCTTTTTAAAACAAGAACATTCCTCRAGAGCTCACTCATTTTTAGGCCAAGTGTTTTGGAGTTAGCAATGCAGCCCCAACGTACTCCGCATGAAACGAGCCCCAATGCAGCTCCATGCTTGCTTTTCCTTATAAATTCCTCAAATCTATCATGCTTAACTGCATTCCCAGCACAGCAATGCCTCCCCTTAAAACATTTACACTCGTCACCGAAAGCCATTAGAAATATAGTGCACTACAAGCTCTGGGGTTTGATTCAGACATCTGCCATCTTATTACAGGGCAGCAAAGTACTCAGGAAAGACTTTTCGCCAGGCACTGGCTCCAATTTATCAGGACAAGATAATCCAGCACTTGATTAGGTGGGAGATGTCGGCAGCTGCAGCTGGAACGCTGCCGAGGTGGCTGCGGATCTCAACTGTGGCTTGAGTTAAAAACAGCAACAAAAAAGGCTTGCCAATAATGCACAGCTTTTACTGCTACTTGTCCTCCGTAGCAAGGTGAAAGTGAATTATTCTCCTCTTGGCCTTTGGATGCATTAACTTGCACACTACCATCTCTTGTGTCTTCACAAAGGCTATTTTGTCTGCAGACCGGGGATATCTTGCAGCAGTTGCCAAGATATCAGACTCCGTAGGCTGCACTGAATCACATCTATCTAATTTAGGATTTCAACAGTACGGTTCTGCTTGGCCATTGTTCTTTCTGTATTTGCTTCAGAGGACAGTCTTCCACTGTGTGATAAATACTGGCTGCGGCAGAAACAATGTCTTTTATTTCGTTGGTGGTCAGCGCTGCTGGGCCACATGGTGCCCAGTCCACACGTAGGGAGGGTGAACGTGGGCACAGTCAGTGCGGCTGCTGCTGACATCAGCCGGAGTTCCTCTCCCCTACACCGATGGCAGGACAGGAATGATAATGCACTATTTTTTTCTTTTCTTGTAATTGCAAATCTCTGCACCTCAGGGCAATGAAGATACCTGGCCAAACCCGATACGTGAAATGAGTTTCAGACATGAGTGTCTTTCTCGGTCACTGCTCTGCTCCTTGACGCACTCCCATGAAATTCAAGCATGAGACTTAAGCATTCACTCCGGCCTCCCCAGAGGCAACTTTGTCTTACCTAGGCACAGAAATACTTATTTCTTGCTCTCTCTCTGTTTCCCATTAATACAGCTGAATCTGAAAACTGACAACAGTTCAGTGGGGCTCCAGGTAAAAAGTTACTATTTGAAAGGGTTATTTGAAAAGCAGAACACCACTTGTTAAACTGACAGACCCTAAACAGGCAGCTGTAACTGGAAATATTCTGTAAATTGCATCTGTAATAAGTTTCCTTGATTTCAGACTCATGGTAATTATTTCTACACCTCCCTTAGACTAGAACAGAGAAAAGGAAATAAAAAAATATATAGGTCCAAGCAGGACAGATAAACCACTGGCTTTTTTAATACTTGAAGCTCAGTTTGATATACCAGACATAAATGCAAGGATCTTCTACTTGCTTAGGCATTTCATCTACCCTGGGGAGGGTGTACATGTTGTAAAATCTGTAAAGTTTTACACACTTTCACTATATATAAATATGGCTTTTGCAAAACTGTTCAGTGTTACATAACGCTTTCCTGACATCTACTAGAAAAATCTGGTCACCTCCGTGCCTGTCAACACGGAGCTGTCTCCACACCTGCCCTGCATCTACTGCTGTCATCTTCTGACAAAAGCTGCTTCCTTCTGAGGTTACAGATATCAAAACACCAAATAAARGTTCCTGGGTAGCAAGGCGTGTGCATCAAGCAGCGCTCGCGGGTGGCTCTGGTTTCCCACCGCGCAAGCAGGGAGTTCGTTGTGACTCTTCACATTAAGGCTAAAGCTGCTCTCATCCACGCAGCCCTGCGTGCGGGTGGGTGCGTGCTTTACAACCTAGGGTGGGTAACCCAGAACGAGTTGTTTCTTTCTGTGTATAAGAGTTGATCCCCGTGGCCTTTTTTCCCCCTCTGCTTTTGTTTCTAACAAAAGCTATGATTCTAACAGTCACTCCGTATTACAACTCTGGGAATTTTAATGAAACACAAGCGCAGCAAGACCGTGGCTGCAATAAAAGTATCTCCTTCTAGATTCACAGAATTCACAGATTCACAGAATATTTAAGGTTGGAAGGGACCTCTACAGATCATCTAGTCCAACCTTCCTGCTCAAGCAGGCACACCTAGAGCAYGTGGCACAGGGTGGCATCCAGGCGGGTTTTGAAGACCTCCAGAGAAGGAGACTCCACAACCTCCCTGGGCAGCCTGTTCCACTGCTCTGTCACCCTAACAGTAAAGAAGTTGCTCCTCACCTGGAGACGGAACTTCWTGTGTTTCAGCTTGTGGCCATTACCCCTCGTCCTATCRCTGGCCACCAGTGAGAACAGCYTGTCCCCTTCCTCCCTGCATTCTCCCTTCCTGAACWTATACATATTAATCAKATCCCCTCTGAGCCKTCTCTTCTCCAGAGAAAACAGGCCCAGCTCACTCAGCCTCTCTTCATACGAGAGATGTTCCATTCCCTTAATCATCCTAGTTGCCCTCCTCTGGACCCTCTCGAGAAGCTCCACGTCCTTCCTATACTGGGGTGCCCAGAACTGCACACAGTACTCCAGGTGCGGCCTCCCCAGAGCTGAGAGGAGGGGCAGAATCACCTCCCTTGACCTGCTGGCAACACTCCTCCTGATGCAGGCCAGGATCCCATTAGCCTTCTTGGCCACGAGGGCACACTGCTCACTCATGGTTAACTTAGTGTCAACCAGGACTCCCAGGTCCCTCTCCGTGGAGATGCTCTCCAGCAGATCAACCCCTAATCTGTACTGATGCCTGGGGTTATTCCTCCCCAGGTGCAGGACCTTACACCTGTCCTTATTGAACCTCATGAGGTTCCTCTCTGCCCAACTCTCCAGCCTGTCCAGGTCCCTCTGGATGGCAGCCACTCCACCCAGCTTGGTGTCATCCGCAAACTTGCTCAGGGTGCATTCCGTGCCCTCGTCCAGGTCATTGATAAACAAGTTGAACAGCACTGGGCCCAGTACTGACCCCTGGGGGACACCACTGGCCACAGGCCTCCAGCTGGACTSGGCCCCATTTATGACCACCCTCTGAGCTCTGATACTTTTATTAAGTATAAAGTAGATACTTTTATTAAGTATAAAGTAGAAAAAAGAAAAATCATCTGTGTGAAATGCATATTTTAGAGGGAAATTAGTATTGATAACTCAATAAATAAATGTCCTGAAATAGAACATGGAGAGCCATTCTATGGCAGAATTCCCTTTTGCTTGTGGCCATGTCAGGCACTGACATGGTTGTGAAGTGTTTAATGTGAACGCTGCTTCAGAGGCAGAGTCAGGTCCCCGTTTCCTCTATGAGCAATATTGAAAGTGCTTCTTATTCACTTTAAGTGCCATTTAGGTGGTAAGTCATACTTGAAGTGGTCTTACCCTAGCGATGTCCCTTASTGCACATTAGCATGAAAATAATTAATTTATCTGGGATTAGTTACATATTTTAATATCTTCATCCCTGGAATAATCCTCTCTAAGGCCTCTACCTCAGTAAAATGAATGCAACAAAGAGAAACTTTCCCTGATTTGTCTAAACTAAACACATTCCTTGTTGGGGGTATCTAAAAGATTAGAGTATTAGAGCATTCTGTGACTAGCAGGCAGCTGTAAACACATATTAATTTAACCCTTCCAAACAACAGCTCTTTAGCTGCACAAGGTGGAAAATATTTTTAACTTTTAAAAATTATGTTTAGGCTGAAGAGATTTATAAATAATTAAATACTATTAAGTTCTTCTAAATACTTTACTACCAATTAGGCTGAGAGGTTGCTGAGGCTTTCGTTGGACCATGACCTTCTCAAGGAAACCCATTATTTTGCCGCACAATAGTTGAGAATTGCTACTAAATAGCTGCTTGCATGCAGTGAAATTAAGGTACTCTTTATTTTCTGCTACTACTTTCATTTCTGCAACTCTTTCTACATGCACAGCATTCAGAGCATTACCAAAATTTCTTACGTTCCAATGATTGGAACGTTTTGTGTTTCAAAAAATACTTGCATGGTCACACAATGTGACTGTCTTCAGAGATGACTGGAAAAGGCAGCATTATCGGAGTAGGATTGGCCAAGTCCTGTAGGGTTCCCCCTCAATTAGGTGAATTTAGTTTGTTTTAGCACACAAAGATGAGGTCTGGGAACCCTGAGACCCAAGTGAAAYAGAAGCCGGTGCTGCTGCAGCTCTGGTTTAAGGGGAAAAATGCAATGGCTCCCTCCTCACTGAAGCTCCGTTTCCTCATCAGAAAGCTCCTCCAGCACCACATACAGAGGCTTAGGGCTTGATTGAAGATGTGGCCTCCTTCAGTCCGCTTCCTGGSCACCCTAACCCCTTGTGGACTTTTTTACTCAGAACAAAGACGGAGGGCTTAACCTTTCTGCAGCGTGAATATTGGAAATGACATCGCAGATTACATGCTGTAATAGACACCTGGCTAAATCCCTGCAGAGGATTATAACTTGCATTTCCAACCTGGTGAAGGCTGCTGAGGTCAAGCAGGCCAAGATTTTAAGAAGGAGC